GTGTATCCATCAAGTCCTCTCATTGAAAAATAATGAAGCGTTTTTTTTTTTGTAATGAAGGAACCCGCAGCCAACTATATTGGTGCAATGGGTAAACCTACTGTTGAAAATTTTGAGTATTTGACTCAAAGTTTGTTAAATATTTAAGTGGTTTAATTTAAATTCTCAAAATTAACTTTTGATGAATGATAAATTAATGGATCATTTAAAATATTTAAGTGTGGAAAATAATAAAGTGAAATGCCACCATTGAAAAAGATGGAGGTGTTTAAGCATCTATTAAATTGAATAGGTGTGTAGTTAATGAGAAAATGTGTGATACCTTTTCATGAAATTATTTTCCTAAGAGTTGTGACTTGTGGTCATAACCTTTGAAACTCTATAAATAGATTCCAAAATCCGCCATTTGATTAATTCATTATTCACATGGAATTCAATACATTAATTGAATTCACTTCTCGTCATAACATATCATCGCATATTGTTGCATTTATCAAGTCTCTTTCTTCGTGTCTTATAAAGTCCTAAACGTCGTTTCGTTCGCCGTGTTCCAATAATTGTTGTGCTGCTTTGTTGGAACTGAAATAGTCATTGTATCTTGGGAGACGATTGCCGTAAACCGAGAGCACTGCACGGGGCAAATTTGTCTTAAGGAGAAAGAACCTAGTTCTTGCCTCGACTACATTTTTCTTGTCAAACTTCTGTCCAAATTTTGTTCGTTCCCATTTCAAAATACAAACACCCAAACAACAATCTTAAGACAAATTTTTAGCTGTATTTTCGAGATGGAGAAGAAGATATTCCACTCAAAATCCAAGAAGTTACGAAATGAAATTGGAGGAGAATGTCATTTTCGGACAGAACACAACGTCTATGTTCCAGCCCATTTTCCGAGGTGATACGGTCAGAATCTGTAAAAGTACCATTTCACAAAAGTTGCAGAAAATCAAGTGTTCTTTCCAGAACATGTTAAATCATCCAAATCGGAGTTCATACGGAGGAGTTATGACGAGAACACGAAAGGGTGCCAAAACTGCCAACACACCTTTTCATGAATAATGCAACCGTTTGTGAGGCGATGCAACCCCAGTACCAGCACGTCTCTAACCCTTTATGGTGCACGATTTGGTGAAAGAAGACCTAATCGAAGAATAATGATGGAATCGCACCCGAATTATGATGAGGTTTATATTATTGTCAATTCTTGAATATTATTTAATATTTTCGTGGTTCATTGTAGGTGCAATCTTATACAACACACATACTTCGACTTGGAGGCCTAATTTGATCATGATACAGTCCGAATCTCAGAAAACTTAAAAGACGAAATTTGTAGGAAATTTCGTTGGCTATTCGGATCATATTGAATCAACAAAATCGGACATCGGATGCTAAAGATATGATTAAGTTATTCAGTGTTGCCAAAACTGCCGATGCATTCCTTATGCGAGAATTTCAAATTTGTCCTAGAAGTTTGAAACGACGCATTTATAATTATTTCGGGTACGCCTTTTATTTATAACACTGTATCTCATGCAATTAAGTGATAATATTATATGATAAATAATATGGTATTATATGAGATAGAAACATGGTTATGTTGCATGATAAAGTTATGGCGTAATAATATTGCACTATATGTTATAATTGGCATGATAACATTATTTTTTAGAGCATGATAAATCTTGAATGTTGTTATGCTTGAAGATTGTATAGATACTTTGAATGTTATTTCGATATGTTGAGATGAATGGATTAATCTTGATATATGCATGAGATTTTGCTGAAATTCGGATGCATTATTTATATTAAATTAATGCATAATATTATGAGGTGTTATTATTGTCGCATACTTGAAATAACATATAATATTTTTTTTTTATGTTATATTATTTATATGATATTTATGTGAATGAGTACATAGAATTAGAAGCATATAATATATGTTTGTTGTAGCATAATTTTATGAATTGGATTATGATGTAGTACGTGATTAAACTATATCAAAATTTCCCTAGTAAAATTGACCGAAAATGTTAAAAAATATAGTGGGAAATGGCTCAAACAAACCTTTATATTTGTAGGCTTAGCAAATATATTTTCGTCATATTTTGGAAAAAATATAACAGTAGGGGGTTTTTTGTATTTATGTGTAGTACGTAGGGTATATGATACAAAGTCCATAGTACAGGGGTGTTTTTGTATTTAACCCTTACAAAAATTATGGGTGTTTTTATGCAATCGACTATGGCACTGGAGGCAGGTGGTGGCTAGGACGATGACATCGGCTATGGCACTGGGGGCAGCAACACAGGGAGCGGGGAGGGGGGAGGGGGGGGGGGGGGG